AATGATGTCACTGAGCAATTACTCAATTTATTTCTGCCATATTGGATATATGAATATTTTGCCCTTTAGAGGTACCCTGATGTTCCTGATCACGTAGATGTCAACTATGTCAAAACGTCGATGTACGGCTGACATACCCAGCCACACCCTGTATACGAGGTCCACGCATTAGCAACGTCCGCCCTAATGCATGGCTACCGACAACACCAGTAGTAGTAGCAGCAGCAGTTATCGAATTATCTTACCAAACTATTGTCCTTCGCCATCCCTTACTTATCCGCCCGAGGTGGGGGATCCAGATGCAGGGGGTAGTTCTCTCTAAGGGGATGTAAGACGCCGCGTTGGAGCGGTGTGGTTAGCACGCACGTGTTACCCTCGGCCGGACACTGCAACCCTTCCCCGCACACATACATTGATGTACAGGGTGGCCAACATAACCTTGATCCATACACTCCATCTCACAAATTAATAGATGTTAAAGAAAATGTTGATTATAAATTTTCTTATAGTGAATCAATTTTTTTGTACTCTTCTAAAAACGGAACGCTCAGTTCTGCCAGAGTGAGTATCAACTACATTTTTTCAAGTAGCACCCTCTGTATCTAATAATAATAATAATCCTCTTTATTTACTACTGACTAAATTATAAAAGAGCGAATTTTAGCTCATGTAGCTATTCTTCCATTTGAGCCTAATATCAAAAAAGTATAATTATAAAATTATGTGAATACATTTAAATTTGAGGTTTTCTGGAACAGAGTTGTACACAGTTACTGCGTTAAATGTGAAAGATTGGTGGTGTGGCATGGTGAATAAATGCGGAGGTCTAATAACTCTATTGGATGAAATTATATTTAAGCGATGTCTAAGTTTATCTTTCAAATATAATGGCATTTTATTATTTTCAATTTTATCTACAAGAGCGGATAAATGGTATTGGAAAAGCTCCTTGGAGTATGGTCATATCTTTTTCAATTATTTATCAGATGGCAACAATTAGTTTGGATTTCTAAAAGTCATTTCGCATTTCGCAAACATGGGTAAAACAATATAAAATTTTGGATATAACTAAGCTTTCGCATAAAGCTTGCTTGATAGATTTACACATTACGTCTTTGTTCGCATATACACTGGTAACCAAATTTGTCTGACAGCTTGAGTTCAATGTGTACGAGAGAGAAGTGTGCATAGACACATATGTTAGAAAGAAATAGAAGCCGCCTGGATAGCAAAACTCATCACCGCGTTACCTAGCAATGCTGACGAGGCAATCTGCTCCGTTACACCAGTTTCCTGAATTAAAATGGATATTGAAAGTACATATATGTGTAAGTTTTTTCTTACGCCGAAATAATGGTCTTATTTTGAGCGCCTACACATTTTTGAATTGTGAATTGTGTCGAATCTGCTTAGGATTGATCTCCGATCTAGTTCGCATCGTGTACATTCCAAGGCAAGGTTTCTACTTCCATGATCATAGTTTTGCGATTTTGGTCAGTGCCTCCCTAGCAGTACCGCAGCCTTGTCGAAAAATGTAACAATAACTCAGGATATGTTGATTTTGTCTCTATGGGTAACACAGAGTCGCATCAAAAATGAAATAAATACTTAATAATCAGAATAAAAACAAAATATTAAATTAAATGTTCGAACAGACCTCCTTCTTGGGTTTGAGAGTAACCTAACCTTCACTCTTCAGCCGGCTTCTATCTCTCTCTAACATGTGTTGATACACACTTCTCGTGCTTCTCTCTGGTGCACGTTGAGCTCAAGCCGGCAGACAAAAATATAGTTGTCCCTCTATAACCAGTGATGATGAATAACAGTTTCTAGAGATTAGACTAAGTGTTTTTGGTGGGGAGTCGTAGTGGATTGAGGAGTGTAGGTCTCAATTTTTTGACGTTAGCATACTTATACACCTCCAGCCGCGATAATTCTACGCACCTTTTAGACATATTTCACTCATCATACATTTCTCCGTACATTTTTGCTTGAAAACCAGAATGGTATAAAAATATTTCCGACCCTCGCATGTCGATCCTGCCGATCCATGTAACAGTCGACCTCCGCTGCTCGACTGGATGTGGATCGTAGATCATTATTCACATAGTTTCGATCATTCGCGCCCGCAGGAATTTTTCTCAGGGAATGGGGAAGAGACATATACAGGGTGTTCCAGTTTATTGTTGCATAACTTTAAGATTCGATAGAACTTAAAATTAATGCATAAAGTCTATATAAACATGGATCGAAAAATACGTGGCTTCCGAAATCCAGGGTGTTTAAATTTACTTTTTTTTTAAATATTTCGAACAATATTTGATGTATAACAGTGAAAATTGGTATACAAGGGTTTTTGGGTACGACAAAACGAACCATGGGCATAGTTTTACTGTAGCCGCTAGAGGGCGCTCTCTACTGTACCTGTAGTGTATTAAAATGACCGAAAAAAATTTCTTATTGCCATTTTTTGCTTTTTTAATAAAAAAACCGATTACTCGCACTTTTCTGCATAAAAAAGCTCTCCTGTGAGTTTTCGTTATAGTTAGCCGGTTTTGAGATGTTTCGACTTTTAAGGTTCGATGCATTTTTAATTGTTTATGGGAAAATAATATTTTTTTACATTTTCGATTTGGGCATTACAAGTAATTAAGATGATCATTTAGATTGTGTTTTTACACAGCAATAATTCCTAACTCCAAATAAACACAAAAAAACAATATTAATTTGTTTAATTTTCCAATATTATTTTTAACAAATTAAATAAACATACAAAATCTAAAGTAGTTGCTCGAAATGTAAACCCAATTGTTCAATACACAACTCACATCTACGAATGATCGAACTATTCAAATAAGGCCTTATTTCATCACATGCATTCCTGATTCTATCTATTAGCATATCTCTTGTGGTTACGGGAGTCTGGTACACTTTTTCTTTTAGAAATCCCCACACAAAGAAATCTAATGGATTTGGGCAAGGGGATCGTGGAGGCCAGGCGACTAGTCCTGTATATCGCAGTTAACTTTGTGTGAAAGCGTACCTGCCTCCAAAACTTTTTCAAAATTGTACAGAAAAGTATGCTAAATATGCAAATTTTAATTGTATGAGCCTGTTTGACTTACTTGATCCATTTAATCATTTTATACATGTTGCCAGCCAACTTTCTATTCAGAGGGGACAAACAATTATTTATGAACTGATGACAGCGATGCGTATGAACTGTAGAGTCAACCTACTTGACGCCATTCTTTGAATTACTATTTAGACCGAAGCTGCTGTCTAGTGCTCTAGCTGCAGCTTTTGAAGATGTTACCATTTTCGAGTCCATTCCCAGACTCTGATGAGAAAGTTTCTAACACCATAAGAGAAAAATTTGCTCCTAAAATGATCAGCTCAGCTATTTTTGAAAGACGAGTGTCCTTTTAGGGAAAAATATATAAAACATCTAAATTCATAGCAGGAGATAAATTCAAAACTCCAATGCCGCACATTGCATTATTGCTATACAGGGTGTTCCGTACTGTACGGACAGAGACCTCTTGATATTTGGGAAAAAAAGTTCTAAACTCAATTTTGACGGATATACAGGTTAATTTATCTGAATACGCCATTAATATATTTTAGGCAACACTGAACTCTTATTCTGACATTTTGCACGGTAAGGGCTTCCTAGAAAAGATAATAAAGCAATTCGGAAGATCTAAGCCAGGACCACCACCTCATCAATGTAACAAAAATATTCACTGTCGATTTGATAAGAAATACCCTTTCTATCCAAGAAATAGCTCATGAGCTACCGCTACATAAAGGGATAAACTATGATATCCATATGATTTTCCAAATAATTCGTATAGATATCCAGGGGACCTGTCCCTGTACCAATGTATGCGTACATCTAAGATTAATTCAAGAGAATCCATGAAATATTTATATTTAAGTTAGCATGCTTAATTCATAAGCATCAATGTCGCTTACCTAAAGTGTCCAGTAGCGTCATCTTACTATCGTAAATTTCACTCTCTGCGGAGTTACACCCTTATCAGCTAAACTCCCCAGAATCGTTAAGTGTCGGTAAATTAGCTCTACGCTATACGAGTACCGAGGTATTTTGTGTTATTCGCACTTGGCTGGATATGAAACTTTTTAAACTTTCCAGGCGTTTCTGTGTGTTTTAGATCGTCTCCATGTTAAATCAGATAGAACGAAGTAATGAACCATTGACGGTGACAACGCAACTTGTATTCATTGTCGTGCCATGTTTTTTTCCTAGTGCAACAAACATGTGTGTTGTATTCAGGTTGTCTAACCGGAAACCCAGAAAATTTGGCAATTACGTATTTTTAGAGAAAGGGGTTTGGAATAATGCTTCAGGATATCAAAAAAGCAAGTCAAGCAAATTCAAATGGCAACCACCATTTTTGACAACACATTCATGACGGGCTGGGAATTTTACATCAGACTGCAATTTTTTACGTAATCTCAAGTGGTCATGAGTGATTCAATCAACATAACCTGCTATAACGTCTGAAAAATACACGGACGTGAAGAAAACTGGTCAACCACGCATTTTTTGGATATAAGATTCGAAGAAAAATGTTTTAGGATACCAGAAAAGCAATATGTCACAGGGCTCAAATATGACCTAGGTAACGACCTCATAAGTCATTTGGAGGTCGAGTTTCTAAATTTTAACCCCTATTTTTGTCAGCAGGATCGTGTATAGTTCGAAACTGTTAATCAGCGTGCATTCGCATGCATGCGGTCCAGCCGTGGTAAGTGATGCGATCAAATAACATCTAAGATTATATCGTCGCCTCAATGCAGAACTATTGTAAGTCCAAATTTTGAGAAAATGCGTTTATATCATTACATAATAGCTTGAAGCCATATTTATTGGATGCAGAAGTATTGTAAGTCCACGCGCAGCATTTCTCCCCTCCGCTCGATTTTTGATATATTTGGTGTAATAGCCCAAGGCGCGTCAGTCCGGTGCAGAACTACGATAATTAGAGAGGGTATTGTATGTTGAGAGGAAATGTGGAGAATAGTTCTGACCTGTTTGCCTGGACATACAATATTGGGTTGACGGACTTAGAATTATTTGAAAATTACAGTGAATATTAAAAAAATATTATTAATAATGACTACCAGAAGAGATAAAGTTCTTGATTTGTTGAAAAAAACATCCGTGATAAAAGTGGTAAGTTAATATCCCAGTTATTAAATTTTAATTAAAGAGTTCTACTATTATACTATTATTTTATTATACTAAGTGACATATAAATCCGAACACCCAGTTTAAATGGTTTTATTTTAATAAAACTTTTTATAGGTACTTAATGAAGCATAATAAGTAAATGATAAAAATTTCAAAATGATTGCACTGCTTTAAAGCCCTTTGACCTTTAATAATGTGTGGATGCACCATGATGTGCTACGCATTCTCCAACGCGCCTAGGCATGCTTCAGGTGGTCAATGTCCTCCTGTGGTATCTTATTCCAGGCAACCACCAAATCCTCTCGAAGTGCTTCTAGAGTCTGAGGAGGACGTTGCAAATTGAGCAATCTCCTACCCATCATATCCCACACGTGCTCAATTGGGGATAAGTCGGAAGATCTTGGTGGCCATGGTAACAATGTGACATCATTATGTTGAAAGAAGTCTATTGTGACTCTTGCAACATGTGGTCGGGCATTATCTTGTTGGAAAGTTGGATCTGCCATGGTGTCAAGATAGGGTAAAAGATGGGGTTCTAGAACTTCGTGGATATAACGCTGCGGGTTCATGTTACCTCTAATGAAGATTAAAGGTGACCTGGAACCATAAGCTATAGCACCCCAAACCATAACTCCAACAGTGTGATGAACATGTCTTTCAACAAAAAACTGTGGATTCCTCCTTTCACCACGTCGCCTTCTAACCCTGGCACGACCAACGTGCATGCCTAAACAAAATCGAGACTCGTCACTAAAGACAATACTGTTCCATTCCTGATCCCAGAGTGACCGTTGTCTGCACCACTCAAGGCGATTACGTCGGTGTTCTCGAGTTAAAGGGAGGACCCAGTGTGGCCTGTATGAAAACAAGCCAAAACTTCTCATTCGTCGGTAAACACTTCGCATGCCAATAGGTCTTCCGTGTTCTGCAAACCATTCATTTGCAATGGACCTGGTAGTGGAGAAACGGTCCCTTAAGGCCAATAATCTTAGGCGGCGATCTTCACGGTCTGTTGTTCTACGGCGGCGTCCAGTGCCCCTTGCTCTTTGCGTACGGCCTTCTCGAAGCCATCCCTGACAACACCTAACCACAGTGTCTACACTTCTTTGCACTCTAACTGCAATTGCCTGAAAAGAAAGTCCAGCTTCCCGAAGTCCCACTATACGGCCCCTATCAAACTCACTAAGTTGACGAAATCGTATAGGTTTCCATACTCTAGGCATCATAACCGATCGTAAAGGATGTCAGGAACCTCGGTTGGCCGCGTGGGTCAGAGTGTCGTGCTACTGATCAGCCGGCCGGCCGGGCCGCGAGTTCGAATCTCGCCTTCGCCATGGATGTTGTGTGTTTGTTTTAGGCAGAAGCGGTGGCCGCAGTAGTAGACTCTTCGGTCTCCTGATCAGCCGCCGTGCGCTGTGCGGGTTCGAGTCCCGTCCCAGGAGAAATGTTTCTCTTGGCCATGGATGTTGTGATTGTCCGTAGGTGGTAGATGGTCTCTGACTGTCGAACGCGGAGGTACCACCCGGCGGTTCTCGTAGGCGGAGCCAGAATGTGTGCATGTTGCATGCACACGTGTTCCCTCGCCAGAGTCCGTGTGGCGTCCCCCCTTTCCCATGTATCCCTCATAGCCCCACGGTACCCAATGGGTGCTTAGGCCTTAGGCCTTCGTGGTAGTTGGAGTATAAAAAAAAAAAAAAAAAAAAAAAAACCAAAATCCGCCATCGTTGATTCTTTACTGCGGCTGAAATATTCATTTTTAGAGCGTTAGTGAATTAAAAAAAGCAGTATAAAAACTGGAATGTCCAACTGATAAGGCTGAACATTTTTTCACTTGTTATTTAGGGTAAACCGGTGAAATACGCCTCACCGGGGAATACGCTCCAGTGTCACCGTAACAAATTACGTCCGGCAGCAGTTACCTTAGCCACCGCCATTACGTTGCTGTCATACTCCAGAAAGTCGGCCGTGTGTGTTTATGCCAATTTATTGCGTTTTATTTGAAAAAAATATGCATTACTGTCATCTAGAGCCCATAAAATTTTAAGGTATGTAATATTTTTGTTTTATTTTAGAATGTCTTGCAAAATTTTTATAGTTTTGGGATCACTTTAGACAAACACCATTTCTAACCTATAAATTGCGCCAATTCCGCCTCGGTTTGCATTTCATGTTAGCTTGATAACCGGTGGGGCGTATTCCCCCGCGTTTCGGAAATACGCCCCAGTAAAATTCGTGTAAAACGCACCCAATGGTGTGAGTTTTAGTTAATTTAGGTACTTTTGGTTTACAGAATATGGGTAGAGTATATGTTCGCAAAACCACCCGTGCTTCATTTAGTGAAGAAGCATTGGCAGAGGCTATGCAAAAGGTAATTTCAAGAGAAATGGGCACAAATGAAGCAAGTAGAGCGTATGGGATTTCATCTCGTACTTTACGAAGGCATTTGATCGCCAAGTCTTCAAAAGTACGCTTAGGCCGTTGTCCAGAAATAGGAATAGAACACGAAAGAAGGCTGGTCTTACATATAAAGGCCCTTGAAAGAGTTGGCTTTGCACCAGATGCTACTTCTGTTAAAAAAATGGCATTTTCATTTGCAGAGAAGCTTCATTTAAATCACCGATTTTCCAGAGAAGCCAAATCAGCTGGGGATGATTGGTTTCAAGGGTTTTTGCGACGTAATAGAGAGCTTAGTATCAGAAAGTCAGAAGGGCTCTCACTAGCTAGGGCAACAGGAATGAACAGAACAGATGTTAGCAATTTTTTTACTCTTTTGCGCGATGTCATCATAAAAAATAACTTGCTTAATAAACCAGATAAAATATTCAATGTCGATGAGACAGGCATTCAGATTAACAACAAGCCTGGGAAAGTAGTAGCAACTAAAGGGACAAAAGATGTTTATTCATTGACAACATCAGAAAGAGGAGAAAATATTTCCTTAGTTTCATGCTGCAACGCAGAAGGTTACTTTTTGCCACCTGTTTTAATATTTAAAGGAAAGAACAAAAAAGATGAATTTTTGGATGGTCTTCCTCCCGGATCCGGTGTGCTAATGAATCCAAAATCATCCTACATTAATTCAGAATTATTCCTAAAATGGTTTAAAGATTACTTTTTGCCAAAAAAAGGCAATGGGAAAGCCTTATTAATATTGGACGGGCACGCATCCCATTGTAATGCTATTGAGCTATTAGATTTAGCTAATGAAAATGAAGTAGTTATTTTGTGTCTCCCCAGTCATACGACACAAGCTCTTCAACCCTTGGACAGGTCTTTTTTTAAGCCACTTAAAACTTATTTCTTTCAAGAAGCAAAAAACTGGATGATTCAAAATAAAAATAGAAAGCTATCCAGAATAAATATTTCGAGATTAATTGGGAATGCATGGGGAAAAGCGGCAACCGTCGCAACATCTGGGTTCAGAGCTTGTGGTATTTATCCATACAATCCTCAGGCCATTCCAGAACATTTTTTCTCCATTTCGGACGCCAGTATCTCAGCCGCTAGCGCAAATAAAGCTCTTCCTTCAACATCAAATCATTCTAATTTAACTCCAGGGCCAAATAAAGCTCAACCTTCTACTTCCTTCTCTCCTGGACATACAAAGATATGTCTACCGATTCTCAAACCTCCAACGAAGCCTCAGAAGTTTCATTAAATTTAGAAGAAAAAGAAACTCCTTCAAAATTTTTAAGAGAAGATAACCCAATTCCTCTAATACCTAATACAATTCCGAAAAGGAAACAACATGCTTTAGAACTGACGTCTCCTGAAAATCGGGTTAAAAGACGAGTATTCTCAGAGAAAAAAAAACAAGCTCAAGATAAAAAAGACAAACGAAAAAAGCCGAGCGAAAATGAGAAAAAATTAGGAGGAAAGCCTGCGTTAAACAAGTTAAAAGAAAACAAAATGTATCAAGTTCGTCTTCGTCGGAAACTGAACCACATTTTAGCTCCTCTGAAGACTTATCTGATGACACTGATGATTACTGCCTTGAATGTCGCGAATACTACTACACCACCAAATCTAAGGTTGACTGGATTCAATGTGAATCATGTAGCAAATGGTTACATGAAACCTGCACGAACCACACAAACATGTGTAATCTTTGTGCCACGAAAAAACGTTAATTTTCTACTAGGGGCGTATTTCACAAGTTTCGGGCAAATACGCCCCAAATGCTTTTTTTTTTAAGTTTGGTTGTTTGTAACTTTTCTTAACCTTAGTGAGAAATTATGTTTATATTAGAGAAAAACGATGTTTAGTTGCTTTGTTTTTGTATTAATGAATAAAAAAATTGGTTTATTATGTTGGTGATTTCCATTTTCCAAAATGTGGGGCGTATTTCACCGGTCTACCCTACAGTAAGATAAATACATTCACCAACTTTTATTAAAATAAAACCATTTAAACTGGGTGTTCGGATTTATATGTCACTTAGTATATTTATTAATTTACTATTATATTATTATTTACTAATTCTACTATTAGATTAAAATCTAATAGTAGATAAGTAGAATATAAGGTAGTTTTTATGATTATTAAAAAGCCTGTTTTTTTTAGAGCCACTTAAACCTCTGTCTTTCTTGAACAGTAGTCAGGTTCCTGCAAAAAATAATACCAAATCAGGAGAACCCGAAATATGTGATGCTAATGTCAACTTTTCACAGTCTTTACCAGAAGCATCACATTTAAAATTCACTAGTGCCCCAGGTAAGGCTCTAAAAATTATGTTTTTTTTTAAACATTGCTTTACATTTAGGTATATTTAAAAAGGGCATAATATGAAATTAAATTAATTTTTTTTGTCTTTTTTTAATTATCCTTAATTATAATTAGGTAGTAGTATATTATATTTAAACCAACAAAAAACTTTTTTGTTAATTTTTTTAAAGTTTTAGAGTCCGCCAAGTTAAGTTTTGGTACAGCCACGTGTTTCAAGCTTGCCGAAGTTGTTACCCTTGTAAAGGCGTGATTGGTTGGAGTGACAAAAGTTTTTCGTTTATTGATATATTTTTACTGTATATGAAAAAATTGGCACGCCACTATTACCTACCGCGGCTTTAATAGGGTAAAAACTTCGGCAAGCTTGAAACACGTGGCTGTACCAATCCTTAACTTGGCGGACTCTAGTAACCCTAACGTTGGTAATAAAACTTAGACTCTGACACATCTAGAAAAAATAAAAGCAACCCTTTATTTATTACTTCCAGATCCTCAGTTTTCCAAAGAGAAATGTTTCTCAAAACTTATGATGGACTCCGCTAATATACAACCTCCTTCATCTTTAATTCCATATGAAACAACGACGCTAATTGCTGATACAAATTTTGGCTCCCTCTTTAACTCCCTCCAAAGCAATGGCTCTGAGCTATTTGCACAACAAAAACACGATATTGAAGAACAAGTTAATGTCGAAGATCATGAGCTAAGTGATCAACTATCTTTAAGATCAGAGTTAGAAGATCCGTTTGCGAATTCGAGTAGCGAAGATCCCGATTTCGTTCCCTCGGATGAAAACGGGATGTGCAAGAAAATCAGGCTGATGTTGAGGGTAAAAGCAAAACAAGGAAAAGGAAAAGGCAGAAGAGTGGTTGGAAAAGAAATATTATTAAATCTGCCAGGAATGGTGGAGCTGAATACAAAAACTGGAATGGAAATTTTCAGAATAAAAGGAGTATCAAGCCGGCTTGTCAAAATTGTAGAAAGAGATGCAATGAGAACTTCTCAGAAGAAGAACGCTCTGCAATATTTAAAGCTTTTTGGGATCTACAGGACATTAATAGACAGCGTGATTATATTGCCAAGGAGGTTGGTGTTCAAAATACACAACGTTCTCGTCCGAGATCAAAAAAATCAGAACATGACAACTTAGCTAGCAGAAGGCTAGTTACTTATAGATACATGCTCACATACAACGAAAAAACAGTTCCAGTATGTAAAACATTTTTTCTAAATACGTTGAGTATAAGTGGACAGATGGTAGAGACCGTATTTTAGAAGATGGGAAGTACTGGTGTGGTAACCGAAGATAGAAGAGGCAAAGCCTGTAAAAACTCTCAGCTAGATGAGACAATTAAAGATTCGGTAAGATCTCATATAAATTCCTTCGAAACGATCGAAAGCCATTACTGCCGAAAGTCTACTGAGCGAAAATATTTACCATCTTCCTTAAATATTTCTAAAATGTACACTTTTTATCAAGAGTTTTGTACAGAAAATCACATTGCTAAACCAGCTTCTGAAAGTATTTACCGGGAAATATTTAACAGGGAATTTAACCTTTCATTTTTCCAACCCAAAAGAGATTTGTGCGATACTTGTCACAAATATGACAACTCATCGGTGGAGGAAAAATCAAAAATGGAAGAGCAGTATTTGTTGCACGACAAAAATAAAAGAATAGCTCGAGAGTTAAAAGAAAAGGACAAAGATATGGGTTCTCAAAAAAAATCTTTGTGTGTGGCTGTTTATGACCTTCAACAAGTTCTGCCAGTACCCCAATCAAATGTAGGTTTGGCCTATTATAAGCTAAAATTAGCTACCTATAATTTTACAATATTTAACCTAGCCACTAAAGAATGTCAATGTTATATGTGGTATGAGTCAATTGGTAAAAGGGGCTAATCTGAAATAGGTAGCTGTTTGTTGCTCTTTGTTGAAAGTCAAGTAAAAAAAGGAGCTAGAGAGTTTTCCTTTTATTCGGACAATTGCGCCGGGCAAAACCGAAACAAATTTATTTTTGCTTTATATACTCGTAACTATTTATCGCAGAAATACTCTATAACAATTCGCCATACATTTCTTGAACCTGGACATACCCAATCTGAAGGCGATAGTGTCCACAGCGTCATTGAAAAGGCCTCCAGAAACATTCCAATATTTACACCAGATCAATAATATACACTAGTAAGAACGGCTAAGAAAAAATCACCATTATATTGCGTCCATGAGTTATCTCAAGATGAGGTATATGACTTTAACGATCTTCAAATAAAAACAGCTATTAATTTTGATAGAGACGAGGATAACGATAAAGTTTACACAAATAAGTTTAAAATAGTCATGTTTGATCCAAACGTCTCAAATGTTTTATTTTTTAAAACACAGCATGACGGTACTTTTAAGAAAATGAATTTGTTAGAAAAGGGAAGGAAAAAAGTTAATATTCAGGTTTGTGATGTACACCTCACATGTCTCTATGATAAAAAAATTCCTCTTCAAAAGACCATTTAATCTATCTCTGTGAAAAAGGAGTCATAACTACTCCGTATCATGATTTTTTTAAAGCTTTACCGTTTACAACTCAATTTAATAAAAACGATGAGGACAGTGAATAACCTATTTTAAAATACTTAGTTAAATTTCCATGTTATGTTATTTTTTTAGGTTTAATTCTAAAATGTATAATTTAGGTCCCTATAAGGTTTCTCCTATAAATCCTGATTCCTATTAGGTTGTAAGTTATGAACAGTGTGTTCTTTTATTTAATTTAACATAATTTCTTAGTTTTTGTTTGGAAATTTTGAGTTTTTATAGAATCCTAAAAATACCTATATATTTTATTTTTATATAAAAATAATATGATATGTTATAAAACATAAAAGAAATATAAGTTTTGTTTACCAAAGATTTTGCTTTTATTTTAGAACTATTGTAAGTCACATTTCATTATCTATTGTAAGTCCACAAATAGGGACTTACAATACCTAAATTGTTATGTAATATTGTAAGTCCATAAATTTGATTATTCATAAACATAGAGTCTAAAAGTTATTAGTATTAATCTCGTACTTTAATTTTAATATAGATTCATGACTTTCATTGACAAATATAATTTAGTTTAAGAAAAAAACAAAAAATACCTTCTCCTGTAAAATTTGCTTTTTGCGACTGACAATAGTTCTGCATTGAGGCAACGATATTTGAGGACATCAAAAAGTTTTTTTCAGATATTATAATACTTTTCTCTGGATCTTTTTTCGAAAAAATGCGTGGTTGCCAAGTTTTTGGGGTGCTCGTGTACTTTTCGGACATTACACACCGATTGAACCTCTTATGACCGGTTGACCTCATGTGTGAGAGAGCAGTCTGAGATACAATCTTGAGGTCGCTGAGGATCTGCTGTCAAATAGTTCTTGATATTTGAATTTACAAACTTGACCTCCAAATGACCTCTGACGTCATATTATAGGTGACATTTGTGGCTATCCATAAATTGCTCTTCAGATAGAATTAAACGTTTCCGTGAAACAACAAAGAAATGTAGTGCCGCCAGGTTTTCGTGGTATGGGTCTTTTCTTCAGAAGTTACAGTAGGTCATACTGATTGAACCACTTGTAACTGATTTTAAATCTCGAGATCAACACGAATCTGCTGCCAAGAATAGATGTTGCTTTGAATTCACAAACTTGACCTTCAAATGACCTCTGAGGTCATTGCCTAGGTCATATTTGAGGTCATAGACATATCTTCGAACATTTCTCGAAACCTTTATTCGAAAAATGCGTGGTTTTTGGGGTGATCGGTATTTAACAATAGTTTGAAAGATTTCATCCAAAAACCGAAGTTCGCCTTTTCCATAAAGGAGTACATTGAAAGTTGTATGTATATCTAAGAAATGGTACATCCTTGAGGATATATTTATGCTTGTCGTCTTGCAGCAAATCATCTCAGCAACAAGTTTTTACGGATCATTTTTCATGTGCATCCTCAAAGATATGTATTTTTAATGAAAGAAATCATGCTGAATGTGATCTAGAGTGCAGGTACTTCAGATCCTTTTAATATACCCAAAGCGTACTGATTTTGAGAGAAGATATAAGAAGCTTTAGTTTAACACTTTAGTTTCCTTGGTCAATGGCATTTCTCGAAATTATTTGGTCATATTGGGTTTTTGTTCTTGATAAATGAATCAACCATCTGTTTATTTTTTTATCCGAACGGATCACCTTAACGAATGTCAACCTACCATTTTCTTGAATAATAAGGCTATGTAAACGGAATCATAGAGCCGACACTACCCGTACCTGTTTTCCTTTAAATTCGAATTGCAATCCTTCCCCTACTACTAACAGTGAAATTAAGAATCTTTATTTGACTATAGTGCCATAGGAAATTTACAAAAATTTGATAGGTCCAAAGATATTAGCCACAAACCAGCCGTTTTGAGGCGATATGTCTGATAAATGGTACATCCTAAACATAAAATGTAATCCTGTTATTCTGTGGTAAATCGTCTCGGAAATATTTTTTCCTCATGATTTTAGCTTTTAAATTAGAACGTTCAAAAATTATTATTAAAAAATGGTAATTTTTTAATGGCAAAGGTGATTTTTGCTTTGTATAATCAAGAATGCGAGCACCTGGGACCTTTTTAACATACTTCAGAAGTACTTGTTCCAGAAGAGGGAAGAATTTGTTCCAATTTGGCATCAAAGTTTTCATGGTCAATGGTGTCCTTTGGTATTATTTTATTGTATCAGTTTTTTCTTCCTGCTAAATGGATTTACTTTGTATTTATTTTTTCTATTGGACCGCTCCTCTATTACCATGAAAGCTAGCATCTGTGATTTGTGTGTGTGTGATTTTCTCAATTCGCTACCTTATGTAAACGGAATAGCCTCCCTCTAGGATATGGAATACTCCATATATGGTATTTTTCATGAGTAGCTATTACCTTTTGACCTCTAATGAGGTGAACATTTGATCAACAGGTTACATCTTTGTATTAAAGCATCTAGTATAGGCAATAATGAATCGAGAGTGAATTGAGTAAAACCGTATGCAGAACTGATTATACCAAACATAGCCAAAAACTGTCTGTCTTGTTTTATTCCTAAGAAACTATAGTATTGACCACACGCAAAATTTTAATTGTTGCGTTTTTTCTTGTGTTCCAAGGAAATATCCATATTGTGAGAAAGTATAAATCCGTAGCGTACAAAAGACCACAACGAAATACGACTTTATCTACAGATCTAGCGTTTAGAGATCCATCAGAATTGTACCAACTGTACAAGAGGAATGCGAGCACTCTTACTACCAACTGTCTTCTTACAAAAACCGGGAATTCTCCACCACTTTCGGTCAGGCATACTTATATTATCTGAAACGCTCCCTATCTACTAAATATCTAATTACCGAAGGAACTTTGGCCAATATCTGAGGGATAAAATACGGATTATCGTTAACCGGAGGAAAGTTTTATGAAGTCACGATAAAATCACCACGATGATAAAATTGTGCGTTGGTAAGAGTATTTTGCTTGAAGAGTATTATGCGAATGGAAAGCGAAAGTATTTTGGTACATGCTGGTTCACTTCCTTTGTAAGTATTTCAGGTGTACTAAAAGATTATACCCGATATCTACAATTTTCGGCAGGAACGCTCATCTTTATTTAACGGACTCCTAGCCTACTCATTTTATCACTGAACATTAAATATATACGTTGTGGCCATATAATAAAATTGGCCGTTTCATAATTGAGATGAATGAGCATTTCATGAACTGGTAACATTTTATGAAATGTATCATTATCCATTGGCCAGAACATGATGTGCGTTGATCAGATCAATGATAAAAACCGTTTTCCGATATGGTCAACTGAAGACGCGGTTATTTCATGAAGTGTTCAAATCTAGGCTATTTGATTAGGTTTAAGTACTTTTCTCCACCGACCTCCTCACTCTGCACAAGGCTCAGATAAGATCTAGCCTCGAGTACTGCTCACTTGTTTTGGGATACTGCCACCCTGACTAGATAATATCTGCTCAATGCTGTTCATAGGAGGGCTGTCCAACTTATCAATGACTCTTTTCTATCGGTCAGTCCCGCATCTAGATTTCTTCTACTGCTACGACAACGGGCTTTGC